CATCGTGTCCGTCGCTGCACAAAGGAATGTTCTCTGATGCGACCCGTTAAATTTTTCCGCGGCAATACACTCGTATTGTTACAGAAGTGTGTCTATTTTTATCAACCCCAATGACGAATTTCTTTTCCCTGATTCCGTGAAATAATATCACAAAAACGGAAAGTAATGACACCAGTTATTATTTATTTAACGAATTTTTTAATCATTTCATGAATTCCAAGAAGGCAAAGTCTGCTATAATTTTAAGAAAAACCGTTTTTATTGTATTTATGTTCTTCGACTTTTCATTCATTTCAGTGATTTTCTGTGTCGCTCTCATGAAAATTGATCACATATCACTGGAATGGGAATGTTTATGAAAATTCATATTTTTATATACAAAGATAAAGACTAGTAACGTAAATTAAAGTATGTTTTGTCTTCTAAATGTCGTAACATGTATTTTATTTTTCCTAATTTTTGTCTATTTAGATAGCTTCTTACGTATAGCTTTTTTTGGTAAATCTTTCACGTAGTTGTGAGATTTTATCACACCGTTATCATTGAGGTCAAAACGTCTTAAACACGAGATTGTTGTGTTCCAAATGGTGACACGCAAGCGAGAGTGAAAACAATTCCACGAAAATAATTCATACAGTGTCAAAAAAGTGGACTTGTTTTGAAATTAATGGTCTCGATTGTTAGCCGTGTTATTTTGCACAATGCAGCAGCGTATTTCATTCGAGCATTGTGTAACGTAATCTACTGCTCCTTCGGAGTTAAACTGAAATGGCATCTTATGTTGCAATTTATGGTGTAAAATAAAGGCACAGCGTGAAGTGTTGTCTGACTGGTGATTGTGTACCATTGCACAGGAGCGGGATAATTGTAAACCAAGTCACGAGTTCACCTCCCTTCGAACGTGGAAAATGAAACTCCTTCTACCTGGCGAAGGAACCCGTCGGAAAGGCCGTCTCCTTTCTCGAAACTCTCTTCATTCCAACCTCGTATCGACCGCTCGTTACGACATTATTTTACGTCTCTGTGTCTGGCTGCGCGTCTCTGCGCGTGCTTGCGCTTTCGATATCACTCTCCCACTCTTTCAATCCCCATTTCACGGTGGTTTTGTAGCTCTCATTCCTGCAACGGTTCGAAATTCGCGAATTACTTCTGCCTCGTCTGAAGCTATCCACCCTGGGTCGAAGAATAAAGTACACATCTCGTGGAAAAAAGAATACTCTTGGGAGATTTTAAGGACGCAAGTCAAATTGCTCCGAAAATGAAGTCTTCTTTGGGAATTAGTTTTAAGGAAATATTGAAATATAATTTCCTTAAAGCAAGTCCTGACTTTCCTATTACACAATCTTTATGTGTATCTTGAAGACTAACGAGATTGTATTTTCTTGTACGCATATATCTGTGTGTGAAATATATAAACAGCAGATTTTGGAGTTTGTATCTGTCTACGTAGAAGATGGAGGAAACGAAATAAAGTCTGCGAATCATGATCAAATTGTTTGCTATTAGATCGGTTTAGCGATGGTTACTTTGAAGGTGCTAAATAACTTGCACATAACGTAAGGAATCTCCATAAGAACGTTTGCTTAGGTACTATCGATACAACTTGAGTAAAGTGGAGGAGAAAAACAGGCGGGCAATCCGATCAGGGATCTCGCAAGAAGCCTACCTCAAGTGCTATAGATCGAATTAGAACGAAACTTCGTAGGTGAAGGAAAACCCACAAATACTTGAACCGTTTTTGGACGTCAGTTTACATACAAAATCATGTTTAATGACGAGTAATGTTTATCTATTTTTCACCCAATTGATAATTAAATATTTGTGATTCATTGAACACAAGTTAATACGACTTTTCGAAGTCCTGTGACATCAACAATTAAATGGATGGATTCAACAGCATCGTGTGACATGCTTTTAACAATTCTTTTTATTTATGCATCATGAAATCCGAATTGTTGCTTGAAAGTAGTGATTACTGGAACAAAATTAATAACACTTTAGCATTGTACGTAATTGTCTATGTAAACTATACATCTTCTCGAATAATATTAGTCCTGAATTACTTTTCGTAGGTCAACTTGATTAGCTTTTTCTTCTGAGGATAGCTCAGGTAGCTTCTGAGGCAACGCAACTTGGTACTTAACAAGTCAGTTCAGTCTTCATCCCTCCCCAAGGCATATTAATCAACTCTTTTTCACGGGGCGGTTTAATCAGTCCCTTGACACCTCTCAGAGGTAACTCAATTAGTTTCTGTTTGTGAGGCAGCTCAATCAGTTCCTGAGGCAGGTTAACCAGCTCCTCAACACTTCTACGATATCAGCTCAATCGCCTTCTTGATAGCTCTCCAATGCAAATTAATCCATTCCTTGCCATGGGGTGGCTCAATCAGTTGCTTCACATCTCTCTCAGGCATCACAATCAGCTTCGTTTTCCATGTGTCTCAATTAACCCCTGAGGTAGTTCAACCGACTCCTTAACAATTAACTATTCTGTGCGGGGCATCTTAAACAGCCTCCTTTTTCGCAAGATAACTTAATCAGCTTCATTTTCTGGATCAGCTTAGTTTATGTTTGGGGGTAGTTTAATCGGTTCTTTGGTAGCTCCTGAAGCAGCTTACATGTTCTCGTCCAACTACATTGCATAGAACACGTGCGAAGTTTCGGACTTTAATTATAATGAAACTTTGGGAATTTGTATCGCAACGAAAATTAAGGGTCGTGTATCTTTTTAACCCGCAGAAACTCAATAGTAACCCTTTAACTACTTGAAGGAACATTTTCTTATATTAAAAGTTGCTTCTGTTTTCTTAGATTGAGCATTGCAAATGGATAACCAAAACAGATAATAGATTTTGGATAAATATTGGAATCAAAATGCCTATGAACAGATTCCTAGGAAACGAAGCGTTAAGGGCTGAAACTATCCTTCAGACCCAACCCTTCAACTTGCGTTTCTCGTATTATACAATTATGATTTAATACACTTATCACCTTTATGAATATACAATAATAATAATATTCAGAATAAATATACCGTACGAAGTGTGTCAGAAATGAATATGACTACATTTTCTGAAAGTCGTGTATTTTACTAACCCTTTGACTGCGGGAGAATTTTGCTGGAAATTATAAGAGACGTAGAGGTGTGAATTTAAAAAAAATATCAGTTTATTCGTAGGACGTTTAGTTTCAAAATTAAAAATTAATAATTTAAAAGACCTTTTTTCTGAGATCTCGCAATGGTCTGATGGAATTTTCAAAAAATATCACCTTATAGAGAATGACAAATCGAAACTGTATTTTATATTTACAGTTTATCCGTACAATGTTTAGTTTCAGAGATAAAAATTGAAAACTTAGAAGACCTTTTTCCTGAAAGTCAATTTTTCCAACGAACTTCTAACTTTTCAATTTTTATTTTTGAAACATAGCATATTATGAATAAACTGTAAATATAAAAAAGTTTCGTTTCATCATCCTTTGTAAGCTGATACTTTTTAAAAATTGATTTAATTAATACAAACATTTCTCTGAGCCCATTTATCGAGGACGTATATATGCGCTCTTCGCAGTCAAAGGGTTAATCGCGAAGAATAATACACTCCCCTTCAAAGTAACACCTTTTAAATTCCCCTCGTAACAAGATCGGTTGTCAGCTACTGTGAGACTCTTCTTGACGCCTGTCACAGGCTCTTAAACGTGGTCAACAGTTTCGGAACCATTGCCTTTGATCTTCAGTTACAGCTTCGCGAGCGGGAATTCACGAAGTGTCAGATTAGAGGAGTAAGGGGTTTGCGGTAATTCCTTCAGTTCGTTTCAACATTTCTTTTCGACGTGCTTCTATCTGATTTACACGTTGCTCGTATACAACATCACGATTCAGATTGAGTTTCTCAAGCTCCATTTACATTTCGAAACATTGATCTCGGAACGACCCCTGACGTGAACGTAATTGTCTTTCTCTTTTCCGTTTTCGCGACACGGTTACCTAAACAAATCTGTTCCTCAGAGGTAAAATTAAGTTGGGTTAACTAATGCCCCGTTCTTCTATTTAAAATATGGAATTTACAAGATTTTTACCAAGATTGCTTACGAGGTATAGGAATGATTAGAGGACCATGTATGTATTAAATGAAACGATATCATCTTTTCTTACTCAGGATATCAAATTATTTCACATTACTTAATACGTTACGCGTTTAATGTATTCATTTGATGAAAGATGTATGTATTATGTATAAATTCATTGGATCCGTTATTTGGTTATGCTTTAGATGATTTATATTTTTAACCGACTTCGAAAAGGAAGAGGTTACTCAATTCGACATGTATTTTTTTTTTCCATAAAAGCCTGAATAATTCAACATAAAACGAATATTAATTTATTTTAAACGTTTCAACTCATAAGTTTCGCCCATCGTTAGTATTTCTAGAATATATTGAATGCATACATATAAGCGGATATATTAAATACACTAAACGCGTTATTTAATGTGTTTTTGTAGTTACTATGCGCTATTTCTAAGTCCAGAGAAAAGAAAAGTTTAATCTCGTAGTAAAACGGTGTCTTACAACAGACTTGGACAACTGGGCTTCTTACTTGAACGCCCGTAGTTGCCCCTAGGGTAAAGCTTGGGGCACTGCCTCGGGCAAGTGACGTCACAGCTAATAATGATTGGTGATGATTAGCTGCAGTAGTAGGAATGCAGGGTCGTTCGGTTGTACTCTCTTCTACTCAGAAGATTGGAGTACCTTTCGACCTTTAAAATAACCTTGTATTGTACATATACAACCTTTTACTGAAGATAGCATTTTTACATTTTAATTGTGCATTACTTACGTATGATTTAATTCCTGTGAATTCTATGTAATTTCTGTTAATTTTCTCGATAAAATGAACCTATGTAATTACAATGTCCCTTTTGATTACCTTTTCGAGTTGTATTATTTTTGCAATATTTTCATGTCTAACTTTAACCTTCGTGTTATTTATTGTTACAGATTGCAAAATGGGTTGTTTTGGGAGCAAAGACAAGTTGAGCAAAGAGGATATGGATTTCCTAAAGTCGCACACGAGATATGACGAAGCGACTATAAAGGAATGGTACAAGGGATTTAAAGTGAGTACAACATCACGATATTTGCATCTTTAGTATAAGAGGAATTGTTCTGATCGGTCGAATGTGAATTGTTTTATATTCTGTGAGATACGCTATGTTGCTTTATTAATATTGTTTTGGGCCACTATTTGTCTTCGATATCCCTTTTTATTTTTCTTGAAATGTGCGCATGTAACTTTTGAATAATTTTCAGTGAAATATTTTTTATTCTTCCATCGAAACGTTTCATTTGTACATCCTATATACGTTCTTCACATTTCTTTTTAATTTTTAAAGAAATTAATAAGTTACACGCAAATTTATCTTGGCTCTAAACTCAACACTTTCTGCAACAAAGGGCTATCTGTCAAAAATTTATTGTTTAAATATCCATGTCTACTCGAACACCATAGTAAAAAGATATATTGTGGAAATTAAACAAGTATCCGATTCCAGTTATAGCTGTGTATGATTTTTTGTTTGTTTGTTCGTGCAAACAGCCAAAGCGTAGAAAAAGTTTCAATAAATGCATCAGTGATTGTACAAACAACTCTAGAAAGGAACAACGTGCTGGCTCGTTATGGCCAAACAACTCTGCATACTGTCCCATGTGCTTTGCAATATTTACATTGCATTTTGTATTCTGTACATGACGACTGTGAATTGAATTTCATATGTTTCAAAACAGAGTGAAAAGCAATTTCACCTGTTATTTCGTGTTTTCCTATATTTTGTACGTGCGTATACTAACTTCGTTAGCACTTTCAATGTCACGCTAAATTCGCGCACGAGTCCCATCAGGCTATGGTTTTTTGGACGTACTGAATAATTTAATGAAACGATTGACAGCACTCGATCATACTACTTACTCTATGTCTGCTCGATGCCTGGTAATCTAATTTTTGTCTGCTCTCATATATGTCATAGAGTTAATATTTTGTGTCCAAAAATATTTATTCCTAGCTGCGCTCCGCGGTTTCGCCCTCGTGGAATACTATTCTTATTCGCGTATGTGCAATAATCACTGTAATGTTTATGTAAGTATGTAGTTTGGTAATTCGTAACAGATGAACGCATTTAACTGGGTGTAGGATAAAGACAGATTTCCAATTTATATTTTTCATTATCCCCTAAACTATGCGACCAAATAACGTGCTGTAAAGAGCAAATTTTATCTTCATGAAATTTCCCAGGTGTTACAATGATTCTTTTTTTATAAAGCACGTCGCACGTAGCGGGCGTCAAGCGTCGACAAAAGGCAGTGTGTAAAACGTAGCGTGTCGAAGTTCTTTCTATAAGTTATTTTCCCCATATTATCCAACAATTCTCAAAAAACCCAATCCTACATTAATATATTATATCTAATAAGTACCCTTAAAGTTCACTTAATAAGTTTCAATTAATTTTTAACATAAAAACACGTTATTGTGGTTTAAATATAAAAGCTAGGTATATCATGTCGCAGACCTTTTTTTTTTAGATCTATTGATAACCAATATTTTTGTATTACATTATTTTCACGTATGTCCAACCATTTGGTCAGCGTACGACGATAAAGTAATCAAGCAACGCTTTTCTACTACTAATGAAAACGGTAAATTGATTGCAATCTAGGTTGAAATTGTTCAATTTTTTTTTCAGCTTTTTCATCGTAGAATTTTATTATTATTATTCGATATTGTTATAAATAATTGATAAATTCACCTCGCAGAAATAATTGACATGGCTATTCAGTGTGTCCAAATGCCTACAGTAAACCGTACTTATTATTTTCATAATTATTTTCGCAATTATCGATGTTTTATTAATCCCGTCATGTTCTGACAGAACTGTCGACTAATATCGTTCGTGACATGGCAAAATATTCAGGTGACACGGCTCCCTATGGATTTCACGTGTCAACCACATCCAGGTGACATAGCAGTCGACATGTTGAATGTTTGGCGTTTACCCTCGCACACAAAAATTGAAATTGACTGCGGTTTTACGTTGCGGTGATAAAACCAGTCAACTAATGTATCGATTCGCGAAAAAAGTATAATTAAGACTGGCGTTATGTGTATATTTACAATTGTTTTTTGTATCGAAAAGTCTGGGTTATAATTAGATTAGTAATCGTCGTTATTGGCAATAGCAACTGACTTTCTATTTTCCTTATATTTTTTTAATCTAAATAAATGTACATAATATGTACATTCATTTATATTATTAAATTTTGACTCTCTTCCCGTATTAATTATATAAATAGTATAAGACCAATGGATTTCAATGATCCTTGTTTGATACTTTGCACGATACTTGTTTAATTTTTGCCAGGCATTAAGGATTATTCGTTCTCGAGTTACAAACTGTCTCGTCGAAGGATATAAAAGAAAAAAACAAATGATACAAATTCCTGTCTTGTACAAATTATATCGCAACAGAAGTATTGAGAGGGTTTTTCACAATGGAACTGAAAGAATTAATTCCAAAGGTAGAATGTTAAGCATAATAAATCCGGCTGAGATTCGTGAACTTTGCGAGGTCGTAAAGATAAGCATTACCACAAATTATATAGCCTACTCGAAACAGAGTTTTAGCCTCGTGAACATTTTCACGAGCATCTCCACAGATAACAGGTTAAAGTAGCACGAAGTAATCGTAAATGTGCTCTTATAAGGATATCCGTCTGGTCCAAGGAGTCGGTGTATCGACGGGTCACTGAATTTATTCCAGTTTCCTCGGTCAGATAACAGAAATAATGCGCATTAGCCCGAAGTGAATCAGATTTTATTACGTTTCCACGAGAGCAGATAACCTCGGTTAATTGAACCTTAAAGTCAAGCAATTGCGGTAGGGGAATCGCTGGCGCCTCGAAAAAGTGGGTCGCTTCGAGTTGCTCAGATAATTTAAACAGTTCAAGTTAAACTCGTTGCGCACAAACTAATTAAACCAAACAAACCGTCGTTAACGTCGACGATTTTCAGTTTGTCCCGTATTTCGCGCGGACTCTCGGTACGGTTTACAACTCGGACGAGCGAGTTTTTCAATTAAATTTGGTAAATGGAGGCAACATAAGCTGTTTCAGAAGCTCAAGATAAATGACATCGCGTAAAGTTCAATCTGATAGAATGCATGGGAGTGGCAGGTCTGCAAAGTTTCGATTCGTCCAATGTCGTGCCACAGTCCTCCCGATGGAGCCTAGAATATTTCTAAATAACGTATTTCCTGTTCATGAGTATATACCGTTTTCAAATAAATCGAAACCTCGCGAGGAGAGGCGCTTATAAATTAACTACTTATGTAAATTATATTGTAATTAGTTCTGGAATTTCCTTTACAAAAATTATGTAAATAGTACATTCAAATCTTATTTTTATTCTTAAAATGTAATATTCAGGCGTTTTTAAAATAGTCGTTTATCTGCCACGCTCATCCATAAAGAGTTAAGGAAATGATTTTCATCTCATTTTGGTCAATAAAATGGCCTCTTGAAATTTTGAAGACTATCAACTCGATACCTTGTACACAAGACTGACGATCAAATAAATTACTAACTTAGGGTTAACGCTTTCGACTCCACTTTAGCTAATGTTCTGAAATCGTTAATAATTATTATGAAGAATAATAATAAAGTTTTACTAATCTCTGGTAGTTAGTCGAAAAGAGGCATGCCAGTCCTAAGTTCTATCTATTAAAAGGACTAGAAAGTAATGTCGTTTCTGCGAGTGTCAATACTTGTTTATCATTTATCAGCTCACTGTGTACCAATTGATTTTTATCGATCGGGTATTGAAAATTTGCACACTAGATGGCAAAAGGTTGTTGATAACGAGGACGGTTACATTATTGATTAAAAATAAAAACATATTGTAAATGTATTTTTTTTAATCTAATGTAAAAGAAACGACATTTCTTTCTGGTCCTCTTAATACAAGGTGTTCGGTAACTAGTGGTACAAGCGAAAAGAGGGTGATTCTACGATGAAAAAAATAAGTCAAAAATATAAAATACAAATTTTTCATCTGAGGTTTGTTTTCGAGAAAATCGACTTTGAATTTTGGCCTGTATATGCCATGTACATTAAATAGAATGGCAAACGTGATTCGAAAAACATTGTCCATGCCGTTGTGCATTATTCTAGCCAAGTTTGCTCTTCCTTTAAAAAAACAAAAGGGAAGAAACGACGAAGGAACTTTTCCCTACACCCAATATCTCCGACCCTCTTTTTCAGCCGAAACCCCTTCTTCCCATTTCTCCCTTTTCGTCTGACTTCTTTCCTGCTCTTTCCCTGTTTTCCTCCGAACACTTTCGTGCCAGCTAGTTCCCTCTCCCTTCCATCAATTTCATCTCAGAATTCCACGCTCTTTTGCCTGCCCTTGCTCTCAACTTTTGTCTCTGCGAGGGAGGATTCACCGAGAACCCTGGCGTTCTCCACTCCACCCTCAAAGTCCACCGAGGTTCTATATCGTTCCAGCGCGTCCTCCAACCTCCTCCACTTCCTCCACAATTCTCATACCACCGCCCAGTATTCCATCATCGCCCACGCTAACGTGCCGAATATCCACAGGCGTCTTCTCCATTCCTCCGCGAACCTTCATTTCCCAATTCCCCGCGTCTGCCCTTCTCGCTCCTCGGTGTTTTCTGTTTCCTGGCATCGTAGATCATATCTCATCGCAAGGATAAAGATAATAACGAGTTTGGGACGATAGCGTAACGTGTAACCTTGATTATTATTACACGAGAGTAGATCTACCTCTATCATTGCATGGTATCCATAAATAGTGGCGATGATAGCTGAGCAATAAGTAAAGCTGAAGGTAGTGCGGATGTTTTAATTATTAAAGGAATTATTGCAGAAATGTTCAGCTTCAAATTTACAATAACCGAAGTTGGACATGATTTGTGGGGGATACTGGAAGCGTGCGTTGGCATAACTTGAATGTTGGAGTATAAACGTGTTAACATGTTATCGCTGACACGTCAGTTAATATTAGCATAGTAGAATCTCAATTAGTGCAATCAACGCAATTGATAACAAAAGCCTATACAGCATATAACTTCCAATATTACACCTAACTTTATTTATTCTGTAGCGATCATTATCTGTATCTGTTGAGAGCAAACAATGAGTGAAGCTTTGTATTGCATAGATTTGGTGCAATAATCGAGATTTTACCGTGTTAGGACAATATTATATTGATTTTTACAAGTGATGGAATAAGTATTGTCAGTACTGTATGTAATTCCAGACGAAACTCGTGATATAGACTAACAATAAGTGAGGTTGTGAAGTTCCACGACTGACAATAATTAACTTATTATTTCCTGCAAATTTGTATAATCTTTACGAATATTATAAAGAGGTTTGTCTGTTTGTATGTAGGGGTTAATCTCCGGAAGTACTGAACCGATTTTAAAAATTTGTTTAGTAATAAAAAGCTATACACTATCCCCGAGTAACATAGGCTACGTTTTATTTTAAAAATAATATGATAAAAATACGTTTTCAATTTGAAATTTCAACGATCTGTAAATCAAATCGGGAGAAAAGCGTTGCTTGGCTACTTATTGGCGTACGCTGACCAAATTCCATTGGCAAATGGTTGGACATACGTGAAAATAATGGAATACAAAAATGTCGGTTATCGATAGATCTAAAAAAAAAGCCAGCGACACCATATACTTAGCTTTTATATTTAAACCACAATAACGTGTTCTTTATGTTAAAAATTAATTGAAAATTATAAGGTAAACTTTAAGGGTATTTATTAGGTTTATTAATCTTCATAATGTAATATAGTAGTGCTAATTAGAATATTTTTAACGACACCTGGAAACTTCAAACACATTGATTACAAAAAGAACATTGGTATAAATGAGTATCTCAAATATATAAATCCCCACACTCTTTTATCTAACTTCCCCACTATCTTCAACCCTCTTTCGCCTACCCTCTCTTTTTTCAAATCTTATCACCCTGATCTTCCATACATTTAATTCCAATCTCTTCCTGTCCAAATACCTTTCCAGCCTCATCATCGTTTGTATTCGACCTCATCCTCCTCCATCAACATCGCATCATTCGCGCACTCCAGCGTGTATACCTTCCCTCGCCTAATCTTACTCCACCCCAGCTTCCTTTCTCATCTCTCCTTTCATATCCGCAGTCACTATATTGAATAGATAAGGGCTTATTGGCCACCCTAGCCGTCCAAAAGCTCTCACCTGTCTCCGCACTCTCCCACTTTTACCCTATTTCTGGTCTACCCATACACTTCGTCTATCCTTATTCGCAACCCTTACATCGCTCCTTTTCTCTCGTCGTGTACTCCCGATAGCTATCTACCGAATCAAACGCCGCTTTCAAATCTATTAATAACGCCACCTGCTGCCCCATTTTTTCTCTTCCTGTGTACTTCTCTAACAAAAGAACAACGCCGATTGTCAGACGTCGATGAAATATACGTTTGGTGAAATATTGGACAAACGTTTATTAGATTCACCTGAGAACTATGCTAAAAGTGAAATCGCACCTTGTATTATAGCCAACCATTTTGGGTTTGTTCATATAATTCTTAATTTACAGAAGATTATGTTAAGTATGCTTGTGTTAATTAATTATTTATGTAGGTTAAACGTTTTCTTTTCTCTTTTTCTCTTTATGATTTGTAAATGATGTGATCTAAGCAAAAGTTCTTTCTTATGTAAAAATTACAAGGAATAAATTATCTGTCTATCTATCTCTTTAATTACTTTTCTGTGTTCTTAATTTTTAATTTCAATTTCCTTTGTTTTTAATTGTTCATTTCAATTATAATTTCCTTGTGTAAAAATTACAAGGAATAAATTATTTATCTGTCTATCTAATTAATTACTTTATGGCATTTGAAATCGTTTTCTTTGTTTTTAATTTTGTTCGTATATATCACTGCGTTGCGAATGACTCAATGAAATTCTTTGTTATTTATTGATTGGTAATAGAGAACACTAATTTTGTGCTCGTCATTGATTTCTTAGAAAATCCAACATGAATATACAGGGTGAGTCATCTAACGTTACCACCTCAAATATCTTAGTTGTTTTTAAAGATACATCGAATATTATAAGGACAAAGTTGAATGGTTCAATGGGGCTCATACGATGCCAAAAACATTTTTGTTTTTATGTCATTGTTTTTTAAGATATCAAGGCCACTTTCATTTTTTTAAATGGAACCACCCTTTTTCAAACATCTACAATGATAGTCCCTTTCATTATGAATTCAACGACCATAATTAATCAAAATGTTTTTAGCATCGTGTGAGCCTCATTGAACAATTCAATCCTGATGATATTTGATGTATCTTTGAAAACAACAAACATATTTGAGGTGGTAACGTTAGGTGACTCGCCCTGTATACCTTCTATGTCGTTGTTAGAAAAGTTGTGTAAATTTTGTCCTACATACACAGGAGTTCATGAATTTTGATTGTTTGTGGGGAACGTATTCTTCTCTTTCTGGACACGCTTATGATTGTATAATGTACGAACGAGTAGATGAGGCTCGAGGGAATTCAGACCGCTGCCTAAACTATGTATGCCGCTGGTATCCCTTGGGACTCGTCTTCTCATCCGTACGCATCACACTTCAAACGTTAGTATGTAACGTGTAGCATTATGTTTCCATCAACAGTACCAAGATGTTTAAAATTGAATCCCCTACAATCAAAATCATACATTACTTTTGCAAAAATTACACGGTAGGGCCATCGTTGAAGACTAATAATGGGATATAAATTGAATGGCGAAGTTTAAACAGACACAAACTTCAAACTGTACCTAACTTGGTATGAGAAATTGTCGAATACTTCGTACACAGGTTATTTGCAGGGTACACTCTTGTTTTAGATATAATTACGATCGATGTATTATTGATATTGGGATTGAGTCAGGTTTGATGAATATAGTTAATGGATACTTCAGAGTAAAATAGGTTATCGATACAAGGATTAAAGTGTTATTTACTACGTATTTGTAGCAGTGCGTTCCAAGAATGAATTTCGATATATCTGGTCTATATTGTATGTTATAGATCACATGAAAAAAGGAAATGTTGCAAACGACACTTTCTCTTGAATGTTACAGCAAGACTGCCCGAATGGCCGATTAACGCCAGCGAAGTTTGTCGACATGTACAAAATGTTCTTCCCGTCTGGCAACGCGGAGGAATTCTGTGATCATGTCTTTCGAACATTCGACATGGACAAAAATGGCTACATCGATTTTAAGGTAAGACGAATTCATTCAAAACAATTGGAAGAATTTTTGCAGGGTGCGGAAAAAGTTCATCGACATCTTTTGTTATCATACAAGTTGTATCAAAGTTTAAATTTTTCAAGTAATGTACTAAACGGAAGTTCGTAAAATTCTATACAAGATACTCCGTTGATAAATAAAAAAATGTTGTACTTTTGGTATTAAAAGATTTTTCTATGATTGTCGATAGTCGTTGTAAATGAAAATAATTAAACAATTTCTTGCTATTATCCAGTATAATAGTTTTGTCTAATTATGTCCATGGTATCTTATTACATTACGAAACTAATTAAAAATAAACATTTAAAAGGCAGTATCACAAATCGTGAGAGGAAAATAATGATCAAAAGGTGTCTACGAACTTTCTCCACGCCCCGTAAGTCTGAATTCATCTGTTGATCTAAAAAAGCGAGACTATATGACATTTTTCTCGTAGAACAACTTCTACCATGTTATTTAGATAAATATTTCACTAATTAGATGTGATGTATGAGCGAAGTATATCTTATTATTAAAGAATTTCTTGACAGCATAGTTGCTTCATGCTACTTGAGATATTCGCCCTACTATAAGTCTCCATAGCTGTTGCTTTATTTTGTACTCCCCATTCGACAAATACTTCAATTAAATTACTTACAAAATAAATGATTCTTTAACACGTTCGTCGCCACGTCACCCAGGAATGGGTGACAGGACTTTCTATTAAGGAACTAAAAAAATAAATTTCAAAGATCAGACAATAATGAAGATAAGTCTGGACAGAATTCGTGAATTTGGCGACGTTAAAAAATTGAAGGCTACGAGAGATGTTGAATTATCTAATCTACAAAAGTCTCGAAACAAAACATTAAGTGTATAGAAATGTTCACAAGTTTTAGCTTGGCAGTAAACGTGTTAAAATGTTAATTATACTCGTTTAGTGAAATCAATTGTACAGGTGAAAAAAATGCTGAAACAATACTCTATTTTAAGCCTGTCTAGGTGTACATAACCCCTCAACCCATTGAGTCTGGTAAATTTTTCAGACCCTAGTCGACAAATATATCTTTATAACTACATAGTAATAGAACAGCGCCTGACGCACGAGCTTTTATACACCCCCAAGTATGTAATTCACTGTGCACGTGTCAACGCACTGCTAGAGCTCTCTAACCCAGTGTATCGTACGTATCTACTTAACCCCAGCAGAGCACTCACGTAACTCTTTACGATCAAAGTAAGTACAGTTGCTAAAAGTTATACAGCTACGTTCAACTTGATCGCATTAAAATACTGCTCTGTATTTACCGATTCTTTACATTTTTTCAAAATAATTTTTTACGGTGTGATACATGAAAGTTTCCACGATTGAAATAACGAGGGCCAAACGCTCAGTAATTGAGTGCTGGTCTAACAGGATTAGAACTCCTGGTTTTTTAAATTTATAGTTTCCATTTATTATGAGACGTTCTTAATTTTATATTTCTCATTTTCTTTTATGCATTTAAAATTTCAATAAATAGTATATTATCAACTTAAAGGGACACACTGCTTTTAGACCACTTGCGAGGCAATTTTCATGATTTTTTTGCAGCCAATATTTTATATCACCTTAATATTAATAAAAAGATCTATTTCTGATCCCAGAAAAGATAGAGCACCCTATCAATATATATTTATGAATAATCTATAAAGTATTGCTTGAGTCCTGGAATATTGGAACTGAAACGTATACTTTTCGTCGTTTCAGTTAATTCCATTTTTCTTAGAAAATTGCAATTCAATTTGCATAGTAAAATCTTTCGCAGCGAGCGAAGCTTCAACTCTTCAGTCCAATAAACGTCGCGCGCGAATTCGTCATTTATTGTTCAAATAAAAGTTCGCCGGTCTCTGGTATTTCGCGGATGAATTAAATTATCAAGTAACAGAAAATGTTACGTGTCAGGCAGGTGTTGCGTCGCGAGAACGGTCGAGGAAAATTGTAGGTGAAGACGGAATCGTAAATTTGTATCGTCGGTACTTGCCGAGATTGAGTTCTGAACACGCCCCTCCGCGCCAGCCGAATTTGCATACTACAACGGGAGTAACGAGTCGAAATTTTCGGTCAAAGGCTACTGTGAAATTATTGGATTCTAGAGGTCGTCTTGCACAAGTGAGCGATTATTCCAATTTCACCTTGATCCTCCACAAATAATGTCAGAGTGTCCTAGAAGACAATGCACAATTCAAAACTGCAATTTATTAATCTCCTCCTTTTTTCCCCTCCCTTTTATGGTAATTTTTATATTCTTTCAAACCTTCATTTGCCTTTGTATTTTAACATGAGCTCAATGCGTACCCTTGACTATTCCTGAAGAGAACCCAATGCATAGAACTACAATAAAAACAGAAGATTTTGCATAATCGAGTAAAATGCAAAAATTTGAAACTAAATTGTAATGTAAGGAAAATTATTTCGATAAATAATTGCCATCGTTTCAAAAACAATAACTATCCTCCGCGATACTAAGCATGGTACCATACAGTAATTTTAAATTGTCCTTTTTCGTGCTCTGATTACTTTGTTTGGACAGACAGTTGAAAGCTAAAAGGAAGCAAAGTGACTAAAACTGTGCAATATTTTCTGGGCCACCCTGATAATAATAAGTTGCGAACGATTCGTTGGTGCATTGTGACGGGGCAGGAGGAACTGACCCAAATTCCGTGGAATAAAGAATAAATCCCCTTTTTGTTCTAACTCTTTCATACTGACTGACCTCAAATGTAATTTAGGTAAATACAAGTGTTGCGCGTTCTTATCCCTTGTATATTGGAATTTTCTGGATTACTACGTGACCCTTCCAAATACATATCTAACGAAAAGAATTCATGGCATGTATTCAATCATTTTAAACACCTTATTGGAATGAAAGGAATCTTTTGAACAAAAATTTTAATTAACATAAAAATCCATCTACTACGTTTTCAAAAGAAAACCTTTTTTTTTTTAAGTAACGAGTACTCGTCCCATTTATGATAACATGTTTTACAACTCAAGTTTAAATACTTAACAAACTTCTGAATGAATATCGATGAAAGTGAAAATATTTTTAAGAAGGCAATGACAAACTAAGAGCATCTATATTGGGAAAATATATGTCTTCTGTGACATACTATCACTTATACAACAATATTTCATATAAATTTAAATATTAGGTCGCAAGCTTAGATCGATAAATAACCACCACATCGAAACTACACGACCTTCTTGCTCAATTATTTCTTCTAAACATTAACATTGCACAGAACAAACTAAATATTGAGTGAATTATTTTAATAATATATTATTTTCTCTAACTCCAAACACCTGAAAATATTGCATAGTAAATATATAATATAAATAACCAAGTTTTAAGAGAACTGTTATTACTTCGATTAAAATCAATCACGTCGAAGCTCTTGAGGTCACAAGTGGACCGCACAGTTTCTTTACCTTTTGGCACATATGATATATTGGCTCAGAGGTCTTCGGCAGTGTTGACAAGTGCTCAGCGAATTACTTGGAAGGTATACAAAAGCTGGCTCGGTGGATGCTATTCCTTTACTAGTTATAAAGCAATATTTGTTGACTGTGGTCTGCCAGAGCCAACAAGACTATTCGAGGGTTGACTAAATTGCATGTAGCACAGATGCGCGTGTATTGCCATGCACATACGAGTATCTTAGCAATAGCATTCGCGGCTAGCTATGGTGTATCCACACGTTATTCATCGTAGGGAAAGTACCTCGAGGTCTAACACATCCTATGACTTTAATATTCTCTACTAATGGTATACAAATTTGATTAACTCGTTTCTAAAGGAAGGAATTCTTATCTGTGATAAATATTAGAAAATCTAGATCTAACACATCCTATGACTTTAATATTCTCTACCAGTGGTATACAAATTTGATTAACTCGTTTCTAAAGGAAGGAATTCTTATCTGTGATAAATATTAGAAAATCTAGATCTAACACATCCTATGACTTTAATATTCTCTACTAGTGGTATACAAATTTGATTAACTCGTTTCTAAAGGAAGGAATTCTTATCTGTGATAAATATTAGAAAATCTAGATCTAACACATCCTATGACTTCAATATTCTCTACCAGTGGTATACAAATTTGATTAACTCGTTTCTAAAGAAAGGAATTCTTATCTGTGATAAATATTAGAAAATCTAGATCTAACACATCCGATGACTTTAATATTCTCTACCAGTGGTATAAAAAATTTGATTAACTCGTTTCTAAAGGAAGGAATTCTTATCTGTGATAAATATTAGAAAATCGCAAAAATAGAAGTAACGTGTTTGTACAATACAAGGTTGCAAAAGAACAACGAAGTATCTTAAGTATTTACACTGTGATTTAAACAAATACCAAGAATACTCTTAGACGTAAAATTCCTTGCTTGAAAATGTATTTCACAAAAATTTGTTGAATTTAATTTAATTTTTATATTTCTGGTAATTTTAAATTGAAAAATCAAGACGTTAAAATAGAAGTCAATGAAAGTGTTTGTTTAAGCCTGCTTTAATATTTTTCCTTAATTGAACCTTTGTTCTAATATAATTATATAAAACTAGACTGTTGAAAAATAAGTTCGTGAGACTTCAAAAATCAAAGCATAGTTCAATTTTCCAAAATTAGAACTCGCATGGCTATCTACATATAATTGCTTCTTCGACGTGTTGATTGGTGACATTGGTCTTTTAAAATCCCCAAAACAATGATCATTAGAAAGATTAAAAAATAAGAATGTAGATATGTTGGTATAAAAATAAATTTAATCGAAATCATGTCACTTTTTACCAATTTTCACAACTCTGACATGCTCCCATACAAGAAAACTAACGTATTCTCTATGAATACGTAGTCTCTATGAATGCCAAGCATATTTATCGCGTGTTCATCACATCCTATTCAACCGTAAAGGACGACGTGAAACTGTCCGACTATTGTGGTGAGTA